CCCACCCAAGTTAAATTTGGGTGTGCTACGTATGGAAGAATTAGCAGGGAGAGTGACCCTTTTCACGACAAGGGACATAGGCAATGTTCTGCACCCTGCCTGTTGAGAATAGAAATTTCCTTTGCTTCTTTGGGTATTATCTGGATTTGATGCCAAGGCCAAAGAAGAAGGAGCAAAGAGAATGCAAGAGGAAAGTAACCACAATTCCTGAGATGTTTAGGCTTTTAGCAATAATATACAGAAGACTCTAACAACCTGAAGAAGTTTTGCATTCCCTTTACTTACAGCATCCTATTTCTTCTATCTAAAATGGCTTTCCCACAAATGGACATTTCTTCTTCCTTTTTCTTCATTGATCCATGACCTTCCTTCAAAATGGTTATTTGGCTCTAACTACTTTCCAGAAGCCTTTAAACACATCCAAGCTGATCCCTTTCAGCCCTAAAAATGAAAATGGTGGCTGAAACTCAGATATGAACAAGTAGCTAAAATTATGGCTTAGGTCTCAGTCAGGGGTCAGCCAACTGCAGCCAGCAGGCCAAACCCAGTCCACCGCCTGTCTTTGTCCAGCCCCCAGCTTGCATGAAATGGAAATTATATAAAATTCAAATATCAATGTCCACACATAAAGGTTATTGGAATGTGTCTGTGTACATATTGTCTATGGCTGCTTTCGCACTGCAATGACCGATGTTAGTAGCTGTAAAAGACTGTATAGTCACAGAGCCTGATATATTTACTGTCTGGCCCTTCACAGAAAAAAAAACAATAAAATTACTTATTCCTGGTCTAAGACACCAAAAGTGTTAGATACGTTAAATAAAAATCTATCAAAGGAATAAATTTCAGACAACCCAACAAGGCAAAGGCCATCAAGTAGCCTCATTAAAGTCTAAGGCCCACAATGAAGACTAAATGATTACCCTGAGGAGCAGGGTATAAGGAGCAGAAAACAAACAAATAAACAAACAAAAAAAACAATGAAGTGATACACAAAGAACAATAAAATACAGAGATATTAATGTCTGTGCTTTTCACTACCACATCCCTAATACCTCACCTACTTCTTAGATGTGGGTAGGTACTCATTAAATAGTTACTGAGGGTCAGCTTCATGGCATAGTGATAATGCACTACTGTAGAGAAGCCAGATCCCACATAGTGCCATGGTTCAAATGCCTACCCCATCAGCCTGAAACATGTGGGGCACGTGCAGGAGTGCCTAGAATCTGCTGGGCTGGAGGACTGGAGAAAGAGGGTTACCTAATGTCTAAACCCTGTGGAGGGTGCTCTCCTTTCCTTCACATCCTCTATCATGAGTAAAGAAGGAAAATAGTTATTGAATAAATGAATGGAGAAGAGGAGAAAAGGGGGAAACATAAGTGAACAAGAGTTGCACAGGGTTGGTAGTAAAAAAGTATCCCCAACAACCTCGAATTTGTCCACCCTGTATGATGTGCCAAGGATTCCCAAAACTTAGCCAAATCCCCTCTTTGTAAACATACCAAATGTCCAAACCAGTAAGCAACTGTGGTAACTTCCCTGCTGCCCATATAAACCCACCTTTCCACACTTCCTGAGTCACCAGACATTAATATCTTTAGTCCAGGGAGAGACTAAATTCAGACACGAGGATTAGCAAGGGGAAGACAATCAAATATCAAGCTCAGAAATAAACAGCACCACTTGTTCTGTTGATCTCTGATTAACTGGCTCTCATTTCCGAAACAGGGCCTCTTTCTCTCTTTCTCTCTCACTCTTTGCAGGTGACACCCACACATATCCTTCAGTGTTGGCAGAGATGCTCACTCAGATAACAACTGGAGTTCATGCTACACATTTTCATCTTCGTGTGTCATCATCACCATGCAAAACCACAACTATAGGAAAACAATGCTGTTTGCTGCTCTTCAGTCTCAACTGACATTTCCTCCCAGCTCACAATTTGTTCTTTGGAGCCAGAGAAGTGTTTTAATCCGTCATTGAGTTAACTCTGCCCACTGAAGTATAAGTCAAATCCAATTCACTGCTACCCTGAGATCAATTCACTTTTCTGAGACTTTTGCTTCCCTAGAATTCCTGAAGCTCCCTTTGAAAAACAAAGAAGATAGGGAAACAGGCTTTGAGAAGCATACATTCTGGTCCATAGAGTTGTACCAAGAATGAGGTCAGCTTAGGAAAACTGATATGTTCTTGGATTGTCCAAATTTCATCCCAAACAGTTCTCAAGTATTGGGCCCAGTGTCAAAACACAGAAATGACAAAGGCACACTGAGAAAGTTTGCCACCTTCTATACTGGTCAGTGGTCTGAATTTTTATGTGCTGGGAGCTGTAAATCTTTTAAGGGAAGGCACATGTTTCTACAGGGATGCCAAATCAAAGCTGAGATCCAGACACTTAGAGGTGCTCCTGAAGAACCAAATTTCTGAGCACCACTGCTACAAAGTCAAGAGTTAGGCAGTGCCTCGGTGTAGGGGACCCAGTGCTGCAAAACAAGGTTCTGGTATAGTCCCGAGACCATTCCAATTGCTGCTGCTTCATGTGGTGGTCAGGCTCCCATTATGATCGACGAGTCTAGAAGTTTCTTTGATTTTTCTCAATCATATATTCTCTCTGCTCCAAAAAAATGAGAGACAAGAAAGGGTACTGCTTAAAAAGAAATTTGTCTGCTACCAGACTGAAGGGAAAAAGTGAATTCAGGGTTATAGGTAAATACACTATTCACACAATTGTGTAGCTAGAACATGGTGGAAGGATTGCTAGTTAAAACTGTGAAGTTTATATTTTATTTCATTTTGAATGTCAGTTCCAAGGTACTAGAACTTTTTTAAAGAAGTTTTTGCCATAGGACCCATGCACTCACCTGATTGAGAGACACACATAAAAACAATGAGAAAGAAATGAAGAAATCACCCCCCAGGGGGATGGTCATGACTCAATATCTTCTCCTCCATTTTCATCCTAGGATCTTGGCATACTCACACACACACGATGTGATTTTCAAGCCACCGGGTCCAGGACTCAAACTATGGTTGGCCATGTGGGAGTTCCATGACATAACCATTACACCATTTGCTGGCCCCCAATGTGCTAGAACCTTTTTGCAAAACTAAATTACATTATATTGACTATCACAATCAAGAAGTGCTTAGCAAGCAGATTTTTAAAATCAATCTTGTGCTTTTTCAATTGGTTTGATCCATCCTAGTGAACCATCCATGAGTGACTATCAGAGCTCAGTCTTCTCAGAGTAATAGGAGACATGTAGCCCATCATTTTCAAGTTGCAGTTACCATTATTAAGTTTACTGAGCTCCATTTCCACAAATAAGAGTCAGTTTAGAGATGAACTCATTGTGCATATAATTGACTCCAAGACACACTCAAAGTGAAATTTATAACAAATGAAACAAGGGCTGTAGCATGAATTGTCAGACTCACTCTTGTGACTGTTCAAGTTCAAGGGTTTTCATCCACAAAAATGACAGCAGTATGTGTGTGTAAAAAGATGAGATTTTCTGTCCCCGGCATTCCCATTTTTGAACCCTTTTTTGAATCAGAGCCAGGCAAGGCATTTATAGAATTTGTTGGGGGTAAAATCACTCCATAGAAAAAGAGCACAGTTCATAAAACATGTGTGTGTGTTTTAAGTCCTTTCTTTCTAATAAAATGAGTTTTTAACTTATTAACAGGAAAGTAGAAAATAGAACTGGTTCTCTCTCCTTCTCAGAGTGTGATTAGAACATTTAGACTGATCATTCGTTCATAATGCCATGTGAAATCATCCATTCAGTAAATAAATATTTATTACATGCCAGGCACTATTCTAGGTCTTTAGGACACAGAAATAAACAAAATAGATAAAGTTCTTTTCCTCATGGAACTTACATTCTAGTTTTGGAAAACAATAAATAAATCAATGGCAACTGGGTGACACAGTGGTGACACAATGCTCTGCAAGGCTGAGGCCATATAGCAAGGTTCCAGATTTGCAGCCAAGTACATGCATATGCCCAGGATCCTGGCTGGCTGAAGCTGGAGTATATCATGAAATGCTTTCTCTCTCTCTCCTTCTTATGGAAGAAATAAGTAAATAAACTTGAACAAAAATTTAAGTAAAACATCTAATGTAAGAAATTTTTTCTATGGAGAAAAAGAAATAAGGAAAGCAGACAAGGTGTGGGGAAATTTAACTAGGATAGAAGGTGACACTTGAGCAGAGACCTGAAAGAGGCGGAGGTAGGTAGATCAAACAATCCAGGTAGATGTTGAGAGAAGAACATTTTATACAGGTGAAATAGAAATAGTATGTATAGAGGTCCTGAGGTGGAGAACATACTTGTGATGTTTGAGGAGAAATATAGTAGAAACATAAATAGGCCTTGAGAGAGATTTCCCGAGGCCCTAATGGCCTTGCAAATACCATGAACTCACTCTTGCCACGGTCTGTGACCTAAGTTAATAATAGGTCTTTTGGGACCAGCAGTTGGCATGTTGGCTATGTTGCTGGACTCCCATGTAGTCGACCGTGGTTCAAGTCCGGGACCCAGTGGCTTAAACTCATGCCAGATGCTTGTACATGCATGCCTAAGATCCTGAGAGGAGAATGGAGGAGAAAGGGATTGCAGCATGGCCATCCCCCCTAGGGGGTGATTTCTTGCTTTCTGTCTCTCTATCTCTGTCTTTCTGGTGAGTGCCCCCCCCACAGCAAAAACTCACCAAAAAATAAAAAAAAAAAATGGTTCTTTGGTAGTGATAATCCTGGTCCTAGGTCCATCAGTGGCACCATCTCTAACCTTCAGCATGTAGTTGGATGCAACACTTAGGAATCAGTCCCCATGCCAGCTATAGTTCCCATATGGCCATTCAAACGATTGGGATGGGGAAACAGACATTTACTTGATAATCAACACCACCATTAAAATAGCCACAAGGTCTGGTGGCTCAGTTAGTTAACTCAAGGGACTGATAGAGTCAAGGCCGATGTTAGATTTCTCACATAGAACATTCACATCACACAGAATGCATGGGTAAGCCAGTCTGACATCTCAGAGGTAAATCATTGTCCTGTTGAGAAAATGTGATTGAAGAAAGCACACCAGAAGTGTACTTTGCTTGAAATAAAATTAACATTTGAAAGTCTAGTTCTTTTGTTAAGAGGTTGAATTAGAGAGTCATAAAAGGACTTATCCCATCCCTCTTTTAAATGGCATTTTCCCCAGATTGATTGCCAAAGTGAATCATACCTACTCTTAAAACAATATTAAAGCACAAATTTTAAAACATGCACATGGTAGTTTAGTAATTTTATCACTGAATACACAGAATATAATGTACACTTGGTCACTTTAAATTGGCATGCTCAGTCTAAAATTACATGAGTTTACAATAAAAAATTACAGGCATATCATTAATTATAGGACTCTGACAACACTAGCAGCAAATGACATTGTTTTCTTCATAATTATCATATCTGAAACTATGAAAGCATCGCTCCAACCAACTGTTTTTAAACCATTTCTTGGTTCATACTAATAGTGAAAATAGACTTCCCTGTGTAACATTTTTACTTTGGTTCCATTCAGAGTGAGTAAGAAAAATCTCAAATGTGATTCATCTTTAGTAAACCTATTTTTCCAGTTAGAAAATAAAACCACTTATTACTTAAGATCAAATCTTTCCATTTACAAAATGCTTCTATTTATTATTTGCCACTGCCCTTTCTAAAACTTCCCTAGCTTCATCATTTTTAAATACAATTGGATAACTAGTATTGAAGAACTCTGCCCAAAGGCTGGCAGGTGGCACAGTGCAATGTAAAGTCAACAGTCCCTCATCACCCAGTACTGCTGAGTTTGACCTTCTTCGAAGTCCAATTTAAAATCAACCAAAGCACAATATTTTCTGTCTGGAATCAAATTATTATCATCCCTACCCTGCTCCTCACATTAAAAAAGAGTTAAAAGTCCTCTTTATATACACAAAAGTTAGGGGAAATGTCCTATCATTTATTACTAGAGAATGTATTTCAAGAAACAGGAAAATGGTGGAAGTTAAGAGGTTCTTATTTACTATAGCACCTCATCCCTGGGTAGTGGGTTTAAATTTGTGTATTGTTTTCCTTCTCTTATTAAGTCATGGCCCAACTTAATTTTTATGCATAATTTATCTATGTGGTCATAGTATTAATAGCTAAAATTATATGTCAGGATGATGCTAAAAGCCAGGGATAAGCAAAGATAAAGACAGTTTCGTTCCATGCCCCCATGTGGATAATAGCATAGGAGCAGACATTTGTGAGCATTTTTTCCTTTCGTAGTTGAAGAATCATAGTCTTAGATGTGCATTCAGCTAATAATGTAACTTGAACTAGATCACCTGCCTCAAAGACCTAGGTTCCTCTAACACCTGAATAAAATGAACCACTGAACAAACTATAAAGGCAAAAATAGAGTCATTCTTTAAGGTCCCAGGCATAATCCAGTTGACCCAACCTGAAGATAGAAAAATATCCATGGTCATTCCAGAGTCACGCTTTGCAGAGTCTCTTGAGAACTTAGAAGTCTCCAAATACACACTTCAAAATGTGTTTCCAAGTCAATGGGCCTCCAGGGTTCACAGGCAATTGAATCCACAGGGTTCTGAAACTCTGAACCCTAAGGCACAAAAAAAATTTCCTGTAAAGGAACTCTTCCCAGGGTTCCTTCTGCCTGACACCTTCTGGAAAACTTAACACCTGCTAAAATAAAACCAATTCCATGGCACATGACAAGAATTGTGTCATTCCCTTCCATCCTAACCTCCTTCAGAAGAAGCTTACAGGGACTCCTCCCTCATATCTAATGAATGCTAATACCCCTTCTTCACAGATCCTCACTTCTCCTACGGATTCTCATTCAAAATCCCACATCAGACCTCAATGGAGGCAATGAAGAGACCACTATGTAAGATAGAAACAATAGGACAGAAAAGCCCCTATGAGTTGACTGAAGTGAGATGCTAATGAATAATTCTTCATCATATTCTAATATTTTTGGCATAAAGTGATTTTATCTTCTGACACATTCTTCCCTGGTGGGAGACTATTTTATCCTTTCAAGATCATATTGTGAACACTGAATCCCATGACAGGAAGTGAGGAAAGCAAATCAGCTTGCCTAGCATTGCTTTGAGGAGCTCCCATTGATCAAAACAACCAAATATGGTATGAATTCACCAAAGACAATGTCTTTATTCCAAACTAAAAGGAAAATGGATTAAATAGGAACTGAGTGGCTCATTTTGATGAGAAGACAGTGTTTTGAGGGCTTTTAAATATTTAAGTCTCCCTACCTACTCCTCCACTCTCACCTTAAACCTATTTAACCAAAAGGAGTGATTTCCTAGCTTTTCTTCTTCAAAAAGTATTTGTATATCACACACTACTTGATTGGGATGTGCAAGGGAATGAGAAAGGACTGGCTCAGCCAGCATCTTGGAAGCAGGTTTCAAGGCTAACAAAATCTACCCAGTTTTTGTTTTCTACCCTAACATCTCAATCAAGTCAATAAATAGATGGTAAGTTTGAATTTGAGTCATGGCACTGCAAGACTTAAACTGCCACAGGAAGTTTCTTTAACTTCATTTCAGAGTCTCAAAATGATCTCTACCTGTGGTCTAGTCCCTCAAGACAAATTGGCATTGGTGGCCTGCCAGGGTCCTGAGGTAGCCGGCTGAAGAAGTACTTTCCTATCCAGAGCAGTGATGTTGAGCAGAGGGAGGGATGCCAGCCGGCTGGCTTCTGGATAGGCCTCCATGTCAGGAGCGGTATGCCGCAAAGTCGCGAGCTGGCGCGTAGGGCTGGTAGTGCTTGCGGGTGGGCCCGGGCCGCCGAGGAGTCATGTTCATGTAGTCACTCTGAAGGAGCCTGTTATTCTTATTTTTCATCTATAAAAAAAGAGAAGGTAATGTAGAGGGAGAAACATGAAGGAGATGTTGTGGATATGTTCTAAGACATTGGGGGCAACTCTTCAGAACATCGACTGCCAAACGAGGCTGAACACCAGCAACCCTTGAGCATGTTGGACTTGGATAGCGACTAATCAAAGTAACTACTTAACTCTTTTAACTTAACTTGAAAACTCTGAATTAAAGAAATTATTTTAGAGAAATGCATACATGTTACTCTCAATAAAGTCATCTGACCTGAATTCTAAAAGGATATCTAATTAACATATTCATTGTGGATATTTAAATACACAGATGGCCCTTTCTCCTTTAAATAGGGTAAGCGTCCCCATTTTTATTTATTTATTTATTTTACTTTGGAGAGGTTTTTGCTATAGGGCACGTGTGCTCGCCAGAAAGACAGAGAGAGATAGAGAGACAGAAAGCGAGAAATCCCCTCCCCCAGGGGGGATGGCCGCTACGATCCCTTCTTCTCCATTCTCCTCTCGGGATCTTGGGTATGCACACACGCACACCCAGCCTGAGTTTAAGCCACCGGGTCAGGAACTCAAACCGTGGTCAACTACATGGGAGTCCAGCGACATAGCCCTTACACCAAACTGCTGGTCCCTATCCCCATTTTAAACTTCCTACATTAGTCATTTGCTTAACAAGCCATTTTTCCATAATTAACCAAAGAGGGCCTTCAGTTCCTCCAGAATTAAAAATTCATAATGGTGGAGTCCAAACTAATGGAGATTTCTCATATATACCATTGCCTAAGCCATATGTCTTAAGCCTCATCCTTGACATCGCGAGCATCCTTATCCCCTGCCCTAGGGGACATTTGGCAAAATAAGGAGGCACGTTACTGACATCTAATGGGTGAAGACCAGAGATGCTGAAACCTCCTATAAGACAGCCCCCCCATGACAAAGAATTATCAAACCCAATATGCCAATAGTTCCAAGACTGGGAAATCTTTGTTGTGAAGAAGAATGGAAGAACAGGAGCACAGTGGGATGGAGATGGCACATTCTGTCAGGCACACCAGACTCCACAGTGCCCATGTGCATTGTACATATGCACACACATGTGCAGCAGCACTGCCTATGTGTCTGTGTGATTCTGTCATCAAATTCATCCTTCCCCAGCCAATCTCTGTTAAAAATGTGTGCTTTGAGGACCACCCCTACTTTAACTTTCCCTTCGCCTCATCCTTTCTACTTGTTTCCTGGGAACACCAGCAAAACACAAGGCATACACAGAGCAAACTGCTTAAATATACAGTCTTCAAGAATCTACTGGATTTAAAGGCAGATCCTCCCTATACACACACTATCCACATTCTCCACATTGTGATCTACCATGGGGGAGACCATTGCTTTCAAAGGCTCCTTTAGACTAGAAAAGAGAACAAGTTTAGCAGCTCAGCCTAGTGAATGGAAAAATGAGTGAGAGTAACAGGTGCTGGTCTGTGGCAGCCTGACCAAGGGGAGCTCCTTCTTTACTCAAATGTCAGTATCAGGTCAAGAATGAGATAGAATCTGCAGCTGCTCCCAGAAACCCACTCAACCTAGAACTGCCTATGGTTGCACATTGCAGGTACTCAGGAAGTTCCAGAAAACATCAACATATGCCAGATCACACCACAGATCGGCCAAAAATAGGATCCCAGAAACTCACCCAGGAAACAGCTAAACTCTAGAGATCCCTGATGGCCTAGATGCCTTGTTCAACAAGGTACTTGGTATTTAAACAGTGGTATCAGGAAAATACTGACCCAGGGTAAAAATGCTGATATCCTATAAAAAATAGAAATATTTTTACTTATACTTATTTGGTCAGAGAGTACAAAGAACTAGGTTTGAGACACAAATAAAGGGTAGTTTTTATAGGGTAACCTAATTGACCACAAGAGGCCGCAGATAATAAGACAGGCCAAACACTGGGACTGTCCAATTCACAGAAAACCTGTGAGACCAAAATAAATGTTCTCAAGACAAAGTAAGATGATTCTCTAGGAATTAGAAATGCTGCCAAAGAAAACCTATAGTGTCTATGATGTTTTTAAGCTGAAACTGAACTATTTAAACTCATTAAGAGAAGCTGTTTCTGTCGCTTTGAATGATTCAAGTCGCTCGGCAAATTAGTGCCTTGTTCTGACATTCCAATGTATATTTACAACACATTTTAAATGATAAACAGTACCCTTTTTGCCTTTGAAAGTTCCATTCGTTTCCAAAACTATTTTCAGAAAGCTAGTAAATCACTCTGACCTAGGTTCAACATATCACAGATGGAGTACCTTTCCTGGAAGAGTAACCAAGAGCCACTGCACCTGGCCTTTATGTCAGGAAGTCAAGATTCCCAATGAGAGGAATGGAAAACCATATGGCAGGAACGAAAGTCAATGGCTGGGGGCAGCAGGTGGACTGGCAGTTAAGTCACTGTACTCCCACATGGCTGACTGTGGTTCAAGTCCTGAACCTGATGGTTCACTTTATCACTTTCTCTTCTGCCCTCTCTCTGGTCAAATTAAAAATAATAAATGAATAAATAATTCTTTTTTAAAATGTCTTTTAGGGGCCGGCAGGTGGTGTGGTGATTAAGTGAGCTGGACTCCTACATGTCCGTTTGCAGTTCAAGTCCCAGATCCAGCAGCTTGCTTTCTCACTTTCTCTCTCACACTTTGTTCCTCTCTGGTCAAATTTTAAAAATTAAATAAATCAAATAAATGAAGTTAAATAAAAGAACTCTTTTTTTAAAATGATTTTTAAAAGTCAATTGTCAGTGGGACCAGCAGTTGGCTTAATGGCTATGTCACTGGACTCCCATGTAGTCAACCCAGTTCAAGTCCCAGACCCGGTGACTTAAACTCATGCCAGGCACATGTGTGTACGTGCCCAAGATCCTGAGAGGAGAATGGAGGAGAAGGGGTTGCAATGTGGCCATCCTCTCTGTGGAGTGATTTCTTGCTTTCTGTCTCTCTGTCTCTCTCTGTCTTTCTGGCGAGTACGCATGCCCAATAGCAAAAAATAAATAAAATAATTTTTAAAAATGTTTTAAAGTCAATGGCCAAGGACTAGGAAAAAAATGAGAACCAAGAATTCTATAAATTCTAAAATCATCAGTGAATATCACAGAGGATCAAAACTAGAAGGTATTTTAGTTGAAAACACCAAGATCCTGAAAGATGAAAGGACTCAACATCAGAGGCAGAACTTGGGTGATTTTACTCTACTAAAGCATCAGGATTGGGCGACTGGCAGATGGCAAGCCAGGCGAATTCTTAAGATGATATCTAGTATAAAAAATTTCTAGGAACAAGCAGCCACTTTGTTCCCTACTCTGCAGAAGGTACAGATTGGGCAACAGGCAGCCTGACAAATGTCCACCACCAACAACAACCCCACACACACACACTGAGAGTCTTCTGAATTGCAAAAAATGTCTGACGGAAAATGGAATCTTTGGGATAGGACAAAAGTTTAAAAGTATCTGAGAATGAATGATAGAGTAGTATGATGATTGATCCAAGACTACCTACCACTCCACCACCCCCCAGCAACAAGACTATAGTAAATATGATGGCTTCATATGACGTGGCTTCCAGAAATAACAACTCATTTATGGATTATGCCTTAAAGATGAATATAATATTTCATATAGCCTTGTTTAAGTCCTTAAATTAGTCTCTCTGGGAGTCACCCATTCTTCAGTCAATAAGCATTCATTCAGCACTAAAATGAACTTAATACCAGATGGATGGAGAATATCAAGAAAAATCGTCCTTTATTTTTGAGGACCATATATGAAATATTCTGTACCACACTTTTACATAAGAAAAAACTGTTTTTTTTGGGGGGGGAGATGTTTTTGCTGTAGGGCGTGTGTGCTCACCAGAAAGACAGAGAGAGACAGAGATACAGAAAGTAAGAAATAACCCCCTGGGGGGATGGCCATGCCGCTCTCTTCCATTCTCCTCTCAGGATCTTGGGTATGCATGCACATGCCTGGCATGAGCTTAAGCCCCTGGGTCTGAGACTCAAACCACAGTCGACTACATGAGAGTCCAACAATACAACCATTATGCCAACCGCTGGTCCCAGGAAGAACTTTCTAAGCAAGGGAAAGATCCTTGCTAAGGAGGCTCTTTCTTATCAGTAAATATGTTCATCAAAATGTGTTCAAACCTAGGGACCAGCAGTTAGTGTAATGGCTATGTCACTGACTCCCATGTGGTCGACCGTGGTTCAAGTTCTGGACCCGGTGGCTTAAACTCACACCGGGTGCGTGTGCATGCATACCCAAGATCCTGAGAGGACAATGGAGGAGAAGGGATTGCAGTGTGGCCATCCCTCCGCCCCCCAGGGGATGATTTCTCACTTTCTGTCTCTCTGTCTCTCTGTCTCTCTGGCAAGCACACACGCTGTATAGCAAAATCTCTCCACCCCCCCCCAAAAAAAGAATGTGTTCTAACCTAGACCAAAAATTCAACATTGAGGAAGGCCAAAACTATATATCAAGTTTATTGCATGAACATTTCCAAATGTTGATCAACTCCTATTCATTGATGAGAATTCTGAAAAGTCTAATTCCCATTATAGTTTCATAATGACAGCAACAGACTTGGCCTCACACTATTCATCTGCTTCAAATGAGACAAAAGTATGACTCAAATAAACAGACCTAGTTTCTCTGCTAGTTTTGAATGCACAATTTCAGTAGCCAAGTTTCTCGTGATTTTTGATCCTGAGCCAAAGTTGTTCAATGACTTCAGTTACCTAGTTTGCATATATATATAT